AAAAAAAAAAAAAAAAAAAAACACAAAAAAATCTATTGTGTATGAATGTGAAGATAAGTCTAAGATAATTCAATAACAAGATATGCCTAAGAAAATTCAAAATAACAAGCTTTAAATATATGTAGGGCTGGGAACAAAGCTCGGTGGTAGAGTGCTAGCAAGTTTGAGGCCCTGGGCTTCATTCTCAGCTTTATGAAATACAATAAAATAAAATTTAAAAACCCAATATATAAGTATGTTTGGTGGAGAACGATAAAAATACAAATATACAAAAGTTAATTTTAAGAAATCACCATTTTCTTTGAGGTAAGAATCAAATTCTGGGGCTGCGGATTTAGCTCAGTGGTTCTGATGACTGCCTCACAAGCGTAAGGACTTGAATTCGATCCCCAGTACGGAAAAAAAAAGAATCAAATTCTGTGCTGTCCAATTTGGTAGCTGTTAGCCTCTTGTGGCTACTGAGCCTTTGAAATGTGGCTGAGATGTCCTATAATGTAAAAGCATACACCAGGTTCCCAAAATTTAATGTGAAGAGAATTGAAGGTATGTTGTTAGCGATTTTTATATAGATATGATATTAAAATAATATCTTGGCTATATTGTGTTGAATAAAATATATTATTAAAAAGCTTCAAGTGTTTATCTTTTTAATGTGGTTAACAGAAAATACAAAACTGGATGATGTATGACTTCTGTCTCTCTTGTGTTGAATTGCTCTGGGCAGTGTTGGTCCAGGTCCTTAAAAGGAAGTAGAGGCTCTTGATGGTGTTCTCAGAACTGGACATAGAATGAGAAACAAACAGAAAATGCAAGGGGATAGGATGAGTGTTGTTCTGGTCAGCATTTCATCATTGTGACCAAATGTCCGACAAACAAAAAGGAGAAAAGGTTTATTTTAGCTCTGTTTCAGCAGTTTCAGTCCACGGCTGGGGGTCTCCAGGGCAGAGACGCAACCGTGGAAGGGCATGGCAAGGGGAAGCTGCTCACTGCATGGCTGCCAGGAAGCAGAGAAAGCAGAAAGAGCCAGAGAGAGGGGAAGAATCTGACAACAAATATTCCTTTCCAAGTTATGCTCCCAGTGATCTGCATTCTCCCACAAGGCCCACATCGTAACAGCACATTCAGTTTTGAACTTATCAATGGATTAACCATCAATGAGGTTGAGGCTAGCTCTCCCATGATCTAATCACTTCCCAAAAGCCCCACTTCTGAGCACCTAAGCCTTTTTGGGGACATGTTTGATCCAAACCATAAGTGAAGAAGTAGTGCAAGAAGTGAGTGATCAGGGATGCTTTGGAGAAGGGAGGAGATGTGGTACTTTGGAACAGCTGAGTTTTTCCCCTGATGCTGGGGATGGAATCCAGGGCCTTGTATATGTTAACTTCTGTACTACTGAATTATATCCCTAGCCCTATGATACCTTTGAAGCTGAAGGAACAGGTTGTGTAGTGATGCCAGAACTCAGGCATGGAAACAGGGTTGGCAGGTGTCATGGTGGTGGGTGGGACTATAGTGAGGATGGTTCATTGCTGAAGTAACTGTGTTGTACATTGCATAGCAACTTCCCCAATCTGACATATCTGTGCCAACACACTCAAAGGAGATTAATGTACCCCAGGACAGAGAGAGCACCCTAGGCAACTCAGGGTCCCTGGGTCTCAGCTCTGGTTCTGCCTGTAATTAGGAGCATGTCCTTGAACAAGTCACTTGTTATCTTGTCTCCTTTTAAAAAATGAGATGAACAAGATCTGTCCACCATGATACTGGGTACTTTTCATGGGATGAGACATACTGTATTAAAAATACAGGGAATGCACATTGATTTATTAGAGCATTATATAATGAGATAACTTTTACTTCCACACTTGTGTATGAGAGAACAACAAGAACAAAAAAAGATGGGCCTTCCTCTAGTCTCTAAGTGGAATGATTTCATGGATGCTGACAATTTTCATTTTTGTACTTGCTGGACTGAACATCTGAATCAGAGGTCACACTCAAGGATGTATCTTCACATGATCTTCAAGTATGAAAGCAACACAGACTATACCTGAGGGGTACGGACACGTTAATGGAAAGGACCGTTATATTTACTTCCCCTGGTCTCTATCATGGGATTTCCCTGCAGCTGGCAAAAATAGCATAGTTGTCAAAGATTCTGTTTTGTACCTTCTAACTTCCTTTCCTTTATCATTTCCCACATTGTGCAACCTGGGGATTGATGGCAACAATAGATGAGTTTGCAGACCTAAAGCTGCAAGCACAGCACTAAACACGTGGCCTTTTTTTCCTTTATTCCAGT